GAACAAGAAGAAAGTCTCCAACTTCCCTTCGAATGGCATTATTCATCCTCGCAGCGTGCGCAACAACGGAATATTTTATCCGTAACAACATTAGCCTACATCCAGCAACTTCTGGAAAGTGACAAAAAAAAGCGAACTGGACATTCCAACGGACATTTGCATAATTGCAGCGCGGAACGCTCGGAAACCGCGGTTTTCTAAAGGATCTTGCTCGGTTTAGGTAACTTTCGACGAATACTTTCCGCAGAAGAAGCTCACGCGAGAGCTGGAATCGGCATGGGATCGATACACGAGCGCAACAGCGTTTAAGCGGCCGGGAAAGCGTAAAAGCAAAATCGTTTCGGCCGCGTAACGACATCAATTTTTCCGGAGAAGCTCTTATTGGCACGCAGAGACCGCGCTCGGCTCTCGAGCGTACGTCGCGTCGCGGCGCGGCCTGCAACGGGTTCTCGTATCCCCGACGATGGACAGAAAGCCACGAAAGCGTGGAAACAAGTCACTTAGGCAACGTAACGTCAAAGACAATGCCCGGCACCACGCTCCGCGTAGCCGCGCGCCCGCTTCTTCGTCCTCTATCTTTCCGCGTTCTGCCTGTCGCCTTATTTTTGACCTCGTCCCGAAAGATCGGCCCTGCGCTTGCCTTTGTTCTCCCTTTGTCTTCGATTACAATGGTCAGATTCGTGATTGACAACTTCGATTTCAATGAATCAATTCTCATCGCTCCTTTTCTCCTCTCTTCCGCGTGGAGATTTGTGATTGTTCCTTCTTTTACTGAGAATGGGACAGCTTTTCATTGTTGTTGGGTAGTTGGATTTTAACGTTTGATTAGTAAATGGGAGAAACTCGAAAAGTGATTCTGCATGACAAAACGCGTGACGAAAATTGAGAGTAAAATGGGATAACATTGCATAAGAGCGTATCCCCTTTCTTGAAGAGGCGATGTTACTTCAATAGCTATGTAACTTGTTATTTCTGAGAGAAGTGGCTTTTAGTTACCTAGGCGGAAGGAGATCTATGGTTAAGATTGAGCAACAAGTACCCGGTAACTTAGTTGCACCATTAATTAATGCTTCCTACAGATTTCCTATTGAACGTATATGCTTTGGTAATCTTCGATGGTTATAATATTCCCCTTGTAACGATTGTATGCCGGCGTAATGTTCCCATGTGGGCTGTTGAGCGGAGGTGTTTGATGTACTCCGAATATACTGACCTGACCGGAGAGAGTAAATCATTTTAAGTGTCTTAATGAATGTTCTATCGAATATCGTTCCGAGCAAGTTACCTTACATACACGAACACTTTAGTCTACGTAAATTAAGTTCGGAATACGAAGGTACAAATCAAATTTTTAGTAACATCCATCTAATTTTCTATCTAATTTCACCATTCGTAATATCATAATTGAAAAATTGGGGTGCCGAGTCTAAATATTTGACGAGCGTATGATCATTTGTCGAGGCTACGTAACTAATGACGTGCCTGAGCGGTTCAACCGACTCTAACATTGTCGTTAGCAGAAGCAACCATCAAAATGAATTCATATTTTTAGAAAGCCACAAACAGGCGAATTAATAAATATTCTTCAGATCAAAGATATTAAATACATCTCTTGTAGATCTCTAATTTCGCATGTCTAGCATTTTTTCAACCACAGGTAATTAAAAACCAATAAAACTTCAACAATTTTAGCGTATCCTAGACGAGAGACAAGTAATTTCTCCTTAAACCGAGACCAATTAAGCACAGAAAATGCCAATTACCCTTTAACCGAGACCAATTTGAATTTTAGTACGTCGTTTTAGGTCCCATTACCCTGCGTACACAGAGCCAGTCCACGCAAAGTTTACTTTACTCCGCGAGAGATAAGAAAAACGTTCATTTGCGCGAGCGCGTGGTTGTTTGCAGGTTAAGCAGAACGTGTCAGCGACAACTTATGAACATGAATACATCCACCGGCAACTGACGCCAATAACTTTATCAACGATGACGCGAGGAATCGTTTAGCAGCCGATTCGCAACTTCAATGTCGCCGTGTCTTCCTTCGTCTCGCGAGGTAGATAAAATCGGCTGTATCGGCACGGCGGATCGCGGTTCCATCGCGGCAACGCTCGTAAAAACCGCATTGGAAATTCATAGCGATCCACCGTGGCCCGATTCCGGCGAAATCCGCCGGAGAAATGTTGTTTTGTGCTCGCGAGCCCCGACTCGCCATCCGGCGACTTTCATTTTTTGTTTCTTTTTTTAGTTCTCGCGCGTGCATTCTGCGGGCGTGCACCACGAAAACCCGTGGCCGAGCCAGGAAGATGCGCACACGCGACGCGAACCACTCGTTCTTGACGGTAAATGAATACTCTTTCGGAATGGACGCGCGAGTAATCATGACCGTTCCGGTTGGACGCTGGGTGCGTGTCTTTTCGAAGAGGAAGGAACGGCGAATATGCAGCTGCATTCTTGCGCAGACTTTTTCCACCGGTTGTCTTATGGAAACTACTTTTCCGTGGCAGCAACTAGGTTAAGTTTAGTCCTCCATAATCTTTCGATTTATCGCGTTGTTCACGCACTCTGAGAAAGAATATGAAAACAATATAACGTGTAGTGTGTTTTACGTAGAACGTAAAACATCGTTTTATACGTAGAACGTAGAAGTTCGAATAAATCGAAAACAAGCCGAACACTATAAACTGGATGGATTCTTACATTCTCGCGGTTCAACGCAAATATTCATCAATACTCGTTCGTGCGTAAACATTCGTTTGCCCCGCGTATATTTGGAGCACCAGATAACACGAGCAGCGTTACTTTACTTTTAATTTATGTTTACCTTCACCTCCTTCTTCGATTGGACGGCTAAGTTTATCTAAAAATTGTGAAAAAGGAATAACAGTTGCTCGTTTCACAAAAGTTAGCTCGCGCTAACTTATTTACCGCCGCAGGAACTATCGCGTATAAGACAGTTAAACAAGGAATCGCGTCAACCGCTCGAATATTTACGAGTCGTAGTCTTTTCCTTTGAATCGAGAATTGATCGCGGGAAAAGGCAAGGTTCTTCTATAGGCGTTAATGCGTGTGAACCGGTAACTAAATAGTGTTACATATATGCATATAATAACACGTTATTTTCACGGTTCACTCGAAAGACTTCAAATGCTATTAATACGGCTTGTGTGTCGCCTTAGCGCAAGCTTTCATTGTAATGAAACTGCACGTACCATTCCGCGTGGGAACTGTATGCGCAAACCACGCCCCGACGATTAATCTAATAAAACCTTCTTTTACGCAACGCTACTCGCTTTCTGTTGGCCCGAGATCGATTTTTCCCGCGCTTCCCTTTCGAGAGCCGTCGCTTTCAATCGAGCGATACGACCGGTTGACCGCTGTCTCGCAATGATCTTCGTCATCGAGCTAAGTAAATCGATTTTTACCCTCGCTGCTACGACGCCATTAGCCAGACTACCTTCAGCGTATCTTCGCTATCAGATATTTTCATTATCTCCCACGATATCATCACTGATTGACGGATTCGAATTAGCGCGTCGCGATATTTATGGCATTGCGCGTTTGCGAAATGAAAGGTAAGAAAAGAAGGGAGATAGTTGCATTCTGGAACAGTGATTTCTTGCTTTTCCTACGTTACACAGTTTTTTTCGCATACCCCAGATCGGTTGCCTCTGTTCCAGAGGAAAATGGACTTCTGTATTTGGAGTGAACTAAGTAGTTACAATGTTTTCTAGCTTATAATTAGGCACTTGCGAATATTTCGCCGCGATTCGCGTGCATTTTGCAGATGTATTCGTATCGCGGAGATTGAACGCTGATAACAGGAAGATAGTATTGCCGCTTGTTCAACGCGTATTGAAGTAGGTGAATGTGTGTGTCAAGTATGATTCGAGATTTAAGAAATTGAAACGGCAGATAACGATTCGAGTGGAATTACTTATGCAAATGCGGATCTTTCTAGACCAATTTGATGCAAATAATAATTACTTAGAAATGTACTTTCTCCGTTAACAACTTCATTATGTCAAACAATAAACGAAAAATATAGTAGGCAAGGCACAAAAGCCTGGCTTTAATGACGGTGGAAGAAATTCGATTAATTTGTACTAGGGTGATTCGTTATGCTTTGTTTACACATAGTTACATATTCGATGGGATCGAGCATTATCAGTCTTACAAACATGTTTGTGTGAAATTAATTGACGTTACAGTTTCCATAGGATTATCAGCGTTGTCGACAATTGTATTCGAACACGCGAATACCCAATGCTGTCTCATGATTTCGTACGCTATTCGGCAATTAGTAGGAATGCGGTCGTCTAAGTAATTAATTCTCGATTATCTATTACCCTTATTTTCAGACAGAAGAGGTCGTGACCCGAACTACCCGCTTCTCATACAGCATACAACTCTCGCAATATATTTATGAATGAACAATTTGTAAACATTTATTAAAGAAAAAGTCGACATTCATTAAATTATTATAATACTAATCAATTTAACACTATCACCAGTTAAATACACGATCACTAGATACCCTAGCCCGATGATTCATCGCCTGTTTGAACAAAAGTGAAAACATTTATTCGAAAAATGATGCATTATTCAAAACGTCGTACGTACCTAGCTAATTTACATAAAAAAACAGCGCAAGGATATTCTGTTAATATTCTGAAATCGTTAAAACGAGGAAAAGAAGAACTGAAAAGTTCCGGTACGCCGTGGTACCGATCGACGTGAAAGTCTCTAGTTTTTAACACCAATCGAAACTATAAATGCAGACAACAGGTACACAATAAAATGACGAAATTATCACGAAACCCTGAGCTACCGATAACAAAAAAGTTCAAAGCACCCACGCAAAAGGTTGGCACCCGCATGACATTCATGGTCTAGGCTCTAGACTTCTAGAGCCCTAGGGATCCGAACGCGTGGAAGCACTCTGATCGATCGGAGCGTCTATAGCAACGGTACAATAAGTAACAAATAACACCACTCACCTCCAACTTCGTCGAGAACTCCTCGACGAGGGCCTCGCTCTGCTTGGTCAACTCTTGATTCCTCTCGAGCAAGGCTTTGCCGAGTTCAGCCGCGAGGACCAGGTCCCTGTCGCGCTTCTTCAGAAGTTCGGCAGGGTCTTCGAGGTCCTCCTGGTCCAAGGAGTTCCGTCTCGCTTGAATATCGGAGATCATGTCCTCGAGAGCGTAAGGCTCGTGCTGCACCTCCTTTTTGGGCAGCATCTCGCGGCCGAGCGTCCTCGTGCACTCGCGACTGTCACTGAAATGTTGCGTGTCCGGCGGAGCCGTGACCTTTAACGTCGCCTGGCACTAACGACAGACACGAGACCAGGTGGCCGGCCGGTCGTACGTCAGGAACATTTGTAACGTTCAGTCAAGCAACAATGAACAACCGGTCAACACGACGGCTCTAGCTGGCGTCCAGTCGATTCGGTGTCACGTGGCGATCGATATTCATACCGCGATTGATCGACGTTAAAAAGTAAACACATGTCTGGAACCCTCGTGCAACGACAGTACACTTTCCCGCGTATTCCTCCGATGTTTATCTCGAAGCTAGAGCAATCCCTTTCAAGAATTGGCGTCCTTCGATCCGCAGAGTCGGGAAAGGTATCGATTATGCGGCACAGACGTCCGAGCACGCGACACTCGAGTCCTCGTACTTGGAAGCGATAACGTTCCCTTATCTGCTGGCAGCGTGGACAGTTCACCTGCGCGACGCGTTTCGTACACAACGGTGACTCGAACGCTCGCTCGCGGAATGTTACGGAATAACGAAGTGATCGATAATCGACTCGTGACTCACGGCGCTCACCTTCGAACGTTGTCAATAAATCGCGAGACGCGAGCGACGGTAACGAGCGAGCTTAAGTTCACTTTTTCCTTCAGCCCACCACGCGACATCGGTGGCCGAACAGGTTCTGTGATTGATCGGCGAGTCTTTCGCTAGAAGTAACGATCAGCTGTGATCGTTGCGGCGATCGACATGATCCTCCGTGAAGGATACTGTTTTTCTTAGCACATTAGGTATCCTCGTAGTCTTGACGGGTCGAAATCGATCGGCGTTCGATCAAAGGCAACCTGATCGGCCAATTGTCAATGCGACGCGGTGTTTACGCGCGGAAAATGGAGCGAACTGTTACGGGACTAATTCCGTGGTTCTGCTCCGTTTCCCCGTTACTGCATGCGAAACCTCGAAACGGTAACTATATTTCTCCGATAGAAAGTCAACAATGTTACCGCGCCTGAAAACACAGCGGTGCAGCGTACACAGCTGTACTCCGATTCTACAACCGTTCCCGATACGTTTCCAGGGGCACACGCACGGTACAGCTGCGCGACAGCCCCGGTGAGATATACGCGAACGGCCGACGCACGAATTTGATTCAAACGTCAGTCGAAGTATCCCACGTTGATTGAACACTGTAACGTCGCACTGACGAGTCCAGGGTACCGTAGCGTTTCCTTGTTGTGTTTTCCGTTTCTACGGGTGTCGATGTAATCTCCGTGACCTATGTAGAGCATCGTACCGTACATTCTTAACCCATTTGCGAGCTTTATTGTCTTTACATATCACGCCCCTTGTACTGGGTTTTAGTTGTTAACCTCGGTGACCGGAACCAATCGAACAATTCAAAATTTAGAATTCAAATTCAAATATTCGTAACTTGAAAGCGACGAGGGAAGCTTGAGAATGAAGTAAAATTACCTTGCACCGGTTTTCGATCACTTTCAAAATCACCTTGCGCTAAATTTGTTATAATTCCATAGGGCACTCGATTTTAGCGTGCACCTGTGACAAATGTCAAACGTGTACAACATGTAGAACTGGTAATCTGCACTCACTCATTTTTACCGGTAAATTGGAACATTGTATTAATGATACGACGATCTGTAATTGGTTTGATTAAGGGTGCAAGCCGCAAATGAATCCAACACGGTCAAAGACGACGGAATTTTCCTTTAACACTTCGAACACAAAGCCAACGGAACGAAGATTAATCGTCCATTTCGGTAACGGTGAAACGTGTCCAAGTTTAAGCGACGGTTCTCCTGCTCGCAGGACTGGTTCGTAGCGTCACCGTGAACTCACTGTCCGCAAGGAAACCACGCGCAGAGGGACGCGAACACGCGAGGCGACCAGCTCGCCGCACCGTGGCCGGCCAGGTAGTGACTCACTAGCCGCCAGTAGAAAATAAATATTACGGAATTGTGCGGTGCGGTGCTCTCCTCCGGCCAGGTAGAGATTCTCCCACCTCCGAGGCTCCGGTTGAAAGTAATTCGTTCGGCTCGGTCTCGGTTCCGTCACGAAAAACGTTCACTCGCGCCGCTGGATTCGATCGAGCACGACCGTATCGTGATTTTATTTTCGCGTTTGCCGCCCGACCGGGTTTATTGTGCTCGGGTGTCCGCCAGGTAGCTTCCGGTTAATTTTTATCGTCGATTGCTGGCAACGCTGCGCGTTACTTTTTTTCCCCCGTTAATGACTGGCGACGTTTATCGATGTAACTGGAGTAGAAGTGGAGAATCGAAAGAACGCGGCGTGGAAGGCTCGCGTACCCGTACACGGGACAATCGACCTGTCGACCTTCCCCTCTGGAGGCATACTAACCTCTCCCTTGCCCGTACCCGCCGCCAACCGTGCCCCCACCACTTGACCCACCTGGTCGAACCGCCACCTGACTCGATCTCACGAAATCTATGGATCGTGTTTAACGTAGGATCCTCGTAAGCTTGTCTGGCGTCGTTCGTGTCTTGGTCTCAAATAAATTTTGACTTTTTTTCTCGATGCTTAACAGATGTTCAAGAACGGCCAATCGTTTTTTCTGCTGGGATCGAAAGTACAGCGGTTTTTTCTTGAGGAATTAAATACTGTTCTGTAATTTCATACGGACATTTTTGTATGTTTAAAAATATATACTGGAATGCGAAGACGGAATTTGTAGTTGTAAGGAATTAAATTGAAGAATTGGAGTATGAATCGAAGATACGAATTACTTGTGCTATAGAGGAAGTTTATCTATATTGTTCGATAAAATTTTACTGGCGTACAGTGTTATTCAACAGTAGGATAGTTTATTCAAAATTCAGGGGAATTTGCATTTAAAAGCAGCCATCGATGTCGATACAGGTGTAATATCTTTGCGGACTGGAAATTATCGCGAAACAATATTCGTTAAGAGTCCGTTATGACGCATATCTTATCATTATCGACTACTACACATCGGAACCATTTTTTGCAGCGCCTTTATATAACGCAGGTTACCTACCCCCTCCTTCCTCCCGCGCCGTTTTACGAGTTTAACAGGTTGCTGCAGTTCGACTGAAAATTTGCCAGACATCGCGTTCTATCGGGCTCTCTATGCCTTTCCAGGTGTTAGAAAATACGTTTCGTGCGAAATGACTCAGGCAATTTCACTGCAATTCCGTCATGACGCCGGACGAATGTATAAAACAAAGCGTTCTCATGAAAGAGAAACACTTGCCCAATCATAAAGTGTTTCACAAATGATGTAGCAATAAATTTGTGCTAAAGAGAGGCGGATAATGAAAATATTTCTCTTTCGAGGTTGCTGGTCATGACACCATTTGTATACCTTAGTATAAACAACACTGGTAGGTGTTGATCATCGAGCGCTCTACTTAACAGTGTAATTGTAGACATGCGATAACATCAATTATCATTAACATACACGCACTAACTAGTGACTCTTCAAGTAATTGAAGTTACCTGGAAACATATGAAATTGTCCTACATTTTTAAACTGATGTCGATACTCCTAAGATTTAGCATTTTCTGTCTATCATCGGTTGAACGTGTTCGTATGAGTTCTACAACGTACTCATCGAGAAAGGTCCATTGGAATAGTTCGCGAAATAAGGATCCCCGTTACAATACACTCCTGAGAGGGTGCTTGGCAACCGGAAGCACCAACAAGAACGACAGTGGCGCGCGTACAGCTGGTCGAGCTATACAGGGTGGCAGATGTCTTCCTCAAATGTCGCCGTCGAACGTCATCGGGGATCGCGTCTGGAAAGTGTTTTACTCTCCACCGTGGATCCTCGAGATCATCAACGTGGAAAACGAGGAAGACACGGGGAAAGGCGTCCGCGGTTTCTGCAGTGATCATCGGCGCCGCGCGTGTAACTTTCCACGAATGTTAAATAAATAGTGAGTCACAATAACCTTTCTCCGTAGCATCAATCAATAAAAACAACCTTACGCGACAAGTCGTATGTAACCGGGGATAATTTATAACTACTGACGGCTCGATAAATAAATTTCTAAATATACCCTCGTCGTGCACCACGGATTTGAAGTTTCGTCGAGGAAGTAAAGTTTCGCAAAGTAGACGATCGAGTCGTTCTATTGCGTAACGGAATGAGTAACTGATTATTCATTGCGAACGTTTTTGCAAGATCGCCGTTAACGAAAGCAGTAGCCAACGATGGCGTACAGAACACAACAAACGCCGGACGAGCATGAGCTCGAGACTTTGGCGATGGCTGAACTGTCAAGGCTAAAGAGACAGTACAGGATAATGGAGAATGACCGGGCAACCTGTGCAGAGGATGCTAGGCTGCAGCTTCGCAGCCAGATGAACATGATCAATCATTTGGAGGGCGAAAAGGCGGAGCTCGTGCTTCGTATCAAGACTGCGAACTCGAAAACGTTCCTACGCGAGGATCAGAAGATGGAAGGGAAGCTGAAGTGCCTTTTAAAACTCCAGGCGAGCTACACTGATATGATAAAAACTGAGCAAGAAGAAACAGCGGAGCTCGATAAACAAATCGACAAGGTATTATTGGATTAAGATCAAGTTTCTGGTTCGAACTTCGATATAATTTTCCTTTGCAGCTTACGAAAGAAGTGACGAGCTTGAAAATGAAGGTTCGAACGGACGCACAGCTGAGAGACATTGCTGAAAAACAACAAAAGACGATCACGATGTTGGAGAATCGCTTGGACGTAACTACGAAGAGATTCAACGTTATAATCGCTAAAAATGCAGAGATACGGAACGAGATTGAAGCGTTGCTAAAGGAGAGATCGCAGTTTACGGCGCTCTGGAAGAAATCGATTAATCACTTAAACACTAGGAAACAAATAATCAATGATTTAATCGAGCAAGCTACCATCGCGTTTAATCAGAGGGACGAGGAGTTGAACACGATTCAAGCTCTTCGCGAGAGGTACACGCGGAACAACGATAAATATTTTGTCCTTGTTGTCCCGCTAGTGTCCTGTGGCAAGATCCACCACACTCTTCAAAGAATTACCGCGAAAGCTGGAAAAGATTGGATCGTTGCCCCATAATACTGAGAGTCGCATTAACGACCAGAAAGTTGTTCGTACTTCGTGTACAATAACTTGACCGTCGTCGAATTAGAAACTCGGAACCGGGAGCAACGGTCTGGAATCAATGACGCGTGATCGTATCCGGTGGTCTCGTCATATGATCGATTATTTTATACCTTTATTAGATAAGTCGTCGAACTATTTGTACTTTCATTGCTTCCGGTAAGAAAACGTGATCTCGTCAACTGTCGTACGCGTAACATGGTCTTCGTCTGTTGAAAGGGGAATGAGAGATTTGAAGACCCACGTCTCGGAGATGTGCGAGCTTCAAAGAACGCTGGACAATGAGATGAAACTGCAGGAGTTCCTCGGTGTAAAGGGGCAGCATCGTGAAATGGTGGATCTAAATGCCAAACGTGCAGCTGAGAAGAAGGCGAAGATGGAAGAGAAACAAAGCATGATCGCGAATTACAAACAAATTCTGCAGACGATCAAAGAATTCACTGGTACTTTCACTTCCATCGACGGAAACCTAATAATAACAAGCAGTTCACGTGTTACGCAATTGCATCTTTTAGGCGAACAAGAAATCGACAAGCTAACGGCACACTTCATCAAGCAAGAAGAGGAAAACTTCGCTTTATTCAGTTACGTGAACGAATTGAACGACGAGCTGGAAAGTCTGCAGGCGAGAATGGTCCAGCTAACGGCGGCGATACAGGAGGCAAATATGTTGAACGAGAACCAAAGCAAGGAGCAGACCGAAACACTGGAAAAACTGAAGAAAGAGCTCGAAGACGAGACAGCTCTCGCCGACGCGGCTGAGGAAAGAGTGACACAGGTGACGCCCCAGTAATCCTATCGAACATTGAAAACCTAGAACGTCGAACTCCACGATTGAATAGATAGTTTACTTCTGCATTATTTGTCTCCCTCTACGTGAACGCTCTCTTGGTGTTTGTTTCAGTGCGACGACATATTGGAGAAACTATTGAAAGGGATCGATTCCTTGTTCAAAGCGATACGGTGCGACAATTCACCGATTTTAGAACTGCTGGGCGACAACGATCAGATAATGATGAGTAACGTGATGCTGTACCTGGGAATCATTGAGAAACGTATCACGCAAATGTTCCACAAGGTCCATTGGGTAGACAGGGCCACCAAATCTCAGCTACTCCGTCTTGACGAAGACAAACGACCGCGATTAAGAGTCCCCACTATTAAACACATTGCTCCCACTCAACCCTGCGCCTTGTAAGTCCTAATTTCCTCTCTTATTCCTTTCCTGTTGTTATTAATTTATGATACTGTGACGTCCCGTAATCTTTTATGATTGATTTAATTTCAATGTTTAATTTCAATCAACTAAAAAACAATTAAACGATATAGATGCGTTGAAAAAGAAGAATTACAGATCGTGTCCGAAGGCTTAGAGCAGCCATTAACACGCGACGAAGCCACTCAAAAGTTGAAACAAAGACTCCAGGAAGACTACTCGGACCTGCTGCATAACATATCTGGTTGTCACTTACCGGCAGCCAGAAAAATCATACAAAGGAGATATCAATGATATAATGAAAGGATATGCCAGTCAACTTCTACATAATCACTACAATTTACAGAATAAGCGATTCCATCCTCAACGTAATTCCCCGCGAACTATAATGCAAATAATAAAACCAATTTCGCGCGAATGCTGATGGATTCATCCGACGTCAAGCTGTAATTTATCTACAAACTGTCTTTTAATTTATTCTTAAAACAGTAACCGTGTATTTGTTAGTATATATTTCATTTGCGATAAAAGTATGTATTTATGTAAAAAAAGAGCAGTTTAAATGAGTATTTTAAGGATGATCGTCCATCTTCGCTGCTCGTTTCTTCGCGACCTTGATGATTCGTTTTAATTCGAGGATAGTGCGTTTTATGTGCTCGAGCTGTTGCTCCGTGTCATCTTTGCCAACAGTGATGGGAACATCCTTTCTCTTACATGTCTGCTGATACAAATTCCAGCAGCAGGTTTTTACCTGCGTGTACTTCAAATTCATCTCCGTGGTGCTTGCCTTTATCCTCGATAGGATCGTCTCCCATTTCAGGGCTTTCGCCTCTGCCTTGTCGCGTCTCGCTTGTAGTTGTGCCAACTTATTGTTCAGACCCATGAATTTCTGTGCCTTTGTTTCCGTCATATGATACTGAAACGGGACAAGAATTCGTCTCACTGTACAAGAAGCGACAAATAAACTTTATAGAATTTTACTTCAATATAAAAGAAAAACGTTTACTATTTCTGTCCCCGTCTCCTCTAACGCTTGAAGATTCTTATCTTGATGCACGGACAAGATCGACCTGGCCTCGATCAAAGTTTCGTAACGATTGAATATCTCAGAGATCGAGTGAAACTCTCCTGTCTCGTTAATCACTCTCTCTAAATAATTCTGATACTTTTTGTACTCTTCCACGTACTTCTTCATTTTGTCGCGAACGTTTTTCATGTGATCTAACTTTTCGGTTAAATTATCGATCTGAAAAGCATTTTTATCAACTGAGAACAATTATTCTTCCTCTTCGTTGATAGTAAATGTAAAATTTACTTCTTTGCGTCGACTCTCTTGGCGCTCTCGTTCTTCTTTAATTTTAATCTCCGCACGCTCCCGTTTCTCCTGATTCTCCCGAACGAATCGGTTGAATTTTATGAATGACTCGCGAAGTACTAATTCATCGTGCCTCATCTCCTTCCACTGCTCATCCATGATTTGTCGCCTTTTCTCTTGCTCGAGCCATTTCGCCTGCAATTTCTCTTGTACTTTTGCTAAGTCACAATATGCTCTCACCACTTCCGACGCAGGGAAATCCCTTGGCTTATCCCATTCCGGATACTTTCTATCGTTCAATTTTCAAAATACACATCTCATTTGTCAAAGAGAAAATCGTAACGGAAAAATAAAAAGAAATTTATAAGTATCTCGTGCATAAAATTCTAAAACAATCTTTTTATTTCTAATTGTTACTATGCTGAAAATAAAAGAATACTTAGGATACACTTGAAACTTGTTATATGTCGACTATAAAGATTAATTATTTTTTTTTTCTGTGACATTACTTAATATTTCGATCCTCTTGCTTGGATAAAAAGTATTCCGTGACAGCTTTCTGCGGGTCTGTTGTAAGAACAGCTCGTCTCACGAAGTTTTTCGTTTCCTCTTGTATCGTCGTCATTTTTCATTTATATAGAACTATATAAATGAGTCAAAGTGAATTTTCTAGACGGTGTGCAATGAATTTTTGATAAAACCGAAAAGATACTCGTACATAAATGATTCATTGATCAAACAATTCGAAATGCAGGCTTGTTTTCTTACTATAGAAAATACCCCAAATCGTAGAACGTGCTAGAGACTTTATTCGAAATTCGTAACTAGATTTCAACCATGTGTTGGAAAAATGAAGGATAGGCAAATATACCTAGAGAAATTGTATCTAAAATAATTAAACGTATTTTATTTATTTTACATTTTTACAAGAAGGCTATAACAATAATAGGAAAATTTAGCATACGCCATAAGAAAGGAGATAAATATACAAATTCGTCCAAAGTCAATTGGATAATTTGCAAGAATTATGAATGCACTTCTTGTCCCAGAAGTGAAAGCTGTTTAAGCAACTGTTTTGCATTAATAAATGTTGTTGAACCATATGTGATCCGTTTATTTACTCCTGCTCCACTTTTCTGTTTCACATAATCCACTAAATTTTGATATTCTATATAATTACCACCACCCACAATAAACACAATTACATCCTGGAATGTTGGTCGATTCTTTGGCATTTGTTCTGTATGTTTCAACTGTTTTGGATCTAGATAACAGTAATCGTCTGTCTGAGAGGACTGTCTAGATTCCATCAGTTCGTCAACTATTTTCGTAACAGGTAAATTATGTTTTTTAACAACTAAATTCTTTACCCCCTCCATTACAAAAGATGATCCCTGGTTCATGAGTTTTGAAAACATACTAACAGTTTTGGTTCCACCACCTTCATAGTTATTTTGGATCTCAGCTATTCTAGTGTAACTTCTTAATCTTTTTATATAAAGTAGTGGATTCAGATCACACCCAGCAGCAGATAATGCTGCCTCAAGCTTGCTATAGTCAGCATCAGACACATTTGTACAAATGTAATATATAATAGCAAGACGTAACTTGTCCTCAGGTGTACCACCATCTGGATCACTTATTGTTTCATATACACTTCTATCTAATGTTTGTTTGCTCATGATTTTCTCTTCTAGTTCAAAGAATGTATCCAGTCTTCGAGATTTAATAAAATTTAAAATACCTGTTGCAATTGATGTGTGCATGTCTATCAATCTCTTCATTTCTAAAAGTTGTGGTAGAGAATTCACAGCGCTCGTCAAACGTGCTGTATTATTGGAAACCATTGACATTGCTACCTCACTCTCACTATCAATACCCATAGAAGATTTCAATTTTTTTACATCTTCTTCGAAAGTACGATACTGTTCCAATTCTTCCTGTATAGCTTCAGCTACTCTAGGAAATGGACTACCTTTATGTTGGCACCAAAATCTATCTTTATTGTCCAGTTCATAAGCTCTAGTCTTTGAACGCGTACCACCTGCAGGAGACCGTCCTACATTCTCCTCAACTACAAGTCTGTTTAATGCCATCTCTAATACATCATGTGCCAATGCTTGATATGTCCATGTATGATGCAATGGTGTAGCCATATCTATATTGCGGTCTAATATTATAAGAAGTGGCCTTTGGAAACTATAATGACCAGTTGTTTCACTTTCAAACAGATTATTCCTTGTGTCCCAGACATTTTCCCTTAATTTCTTGTCTATCATTTTAGCCACCATTTCTGCAGCATTCCCTCTTGGACATCTTATAATTGGAACAGTTCCCAACGTGACAAAGACAGAGAATAAGCAATCAACTATAATTTCCATAACTGATTCCATTTCAGTATCTTTCACTTCTCCTCGATTAATTGCATGATATGATATCACATCACTGTTTTGATGCCTAAGAATGAAAAGGTCATCTTCCAATGATATGAAATTTAAATACTGATCGAATACTTTGTGGATATTTGATACCACACCACCGAGTAATGCAGCTGCTGCTAAATCTTCCATTTTTTGTCGAGATATGGGCGATATAAAATTTAAGTGATATATGTCATATAAACCATTCTGTAAATCTTGGCCAATCCTCCCAAGATTTTCATCTGTTGGAGCACAAAAGTAAATTGCTGGCACTTCAGGAATAGAATCTCTATCAGAGTGCAACTGCATATGGAGCGTGATGCCAAGCTCTCTTAGTTCTCTCACGGATATCAATGGTGAGATAATATCCTGCCCAAGTCGATCATAAATTAGAACTTTCCATGTTGGTACAGCTTCTTCCAATTTTTGTTCAGGTTGATTTAAATTTAACATTTGTTTCAAGGCATTTATTTGCCTGTCACGTAGGCTCGTCATAGCTAACCCGTTCGTTTAGGCCTTGCTTGCAGAATATATTTCTTTACTTTCGTGAATGACTTGATGTTTATTGGTATAAAAAAGTTTTAAGAAATCTTATATGTATAATTTCACAACTATGTAAAGAAATACAACGTGGAAAGCACCATAACTCATACAAATATGTCAACATTCGAGTTTTAACTATGAATTGTCAAAATGTACCCACGCAGTATAAGACACTAAACAACGTCATATTTGCAATATAGGCCACATCAATATGTACCATACATAGTTGGCGTAGTGACATAAAATCTCTAGGTTATTACTATTAAATTTCTTGCAGTATAACGAAAAATTGTATAGTTATAACATCTTAGAAATGTACATCCTATTGTGCTGTTATATAATGGAAATTTTTTAATTATTAAATTATAATATATCTTACACACGACACACTACGTGCTCGGAGTGGTTTGAAGTTTTTATAGTACTTATTGGTAGCATTGGCCGGCAGCAAAATGGCGACCTCGTTTTGCTGGGAAAGTAAAATCCAAGAAAAGTTCGATGTTAATATCAGGCTATCGTACGTGACATGTAAATAATAAACGAGATTTCGTTTATTTAATATTAAAGGAACCACGTTAATCATCATTAAACATCATACTTTGAATATTCGATGAGTTTTCGGTGATACGTTTCTGACAGCGTGTCCGCAATGGCCGATGACTCTACTCCCCTGCCTAAAAGGCGTCAATTGGTAAACAAACCAAACATAATTTTACGATTTATCACAAGTTTTGCTTCTTTTTTTGTGATGTTTAGTAAAATTTATATGTAAATATTGAATTTGTTGCAAATTCTATTACAGCGAGAAAGGACTAGGAAGTTATATACAGATGATTGGACTATTGGCGACGAGGAAATCGAGGGTCGTAGGACGTTTCAGCTCGATGAAAAAATTGAATGTGACAGATACAATCTTAGTAATTTTTCTGGATTATTCCGTGAAATGGCTGGTTCAGAACTTACTCTAGCATACCTGCAGAAGCATGGTCTTAGCATACCCTTATTATTCAGAGACAAATCTGGATTGGGATTACGAGTACCTAGTTCAAACTTTTCTGTCAATGATGTCAGAACATGTGTTGGTATGTTTCATGTACAATTTTATAACAGTTTGATAATCAGTATTCGTATATAATAAGATGCATTGTCTATATCTATTAGGTTCCAAGAGAGTACTAGACGTAATGGATGTCAATACACAAAAAAATGAAGATATGACAATGAAAGAATGGCAAAAGTATTATGAAGATGCTAACAAGGAACGTTTATTGAATGTCATCTCTTTAGAATTTAGTCATACTAAATTAGAGAACTACGTACAGTCACCTGCATTAGTACGACAAGTTGACTGGGTGGATGTTGTATGGCCAAGACATTTGAAAGAAGCTCAAGTGGAATCTACAAATCTTTTGGAAGATATGATGTATCCAAAAGTGCAGAAGTATTGTTTGATGTCTGTGAAAGGGTGTTATACGGACTTTCATGTTGATTTTGGTGGAACTAGTGTTTGGTATCATATCCTACGAGGTGGAAAAATATTTTGGCTTATCCCTCCCACTGAAAAAAACTTAGCTCTTTATCAAGAATGGGTATTAAGTGGAAAACAATCAGATGTATTCTTTGGAGATATGGTGGACAGATGCGGTAGAATAAGTTTAACAGCTGGTATGACATTGTTCATCCCAACTGGTTGGATTCATGCTGTCTATACACCTCAAGATTCATTAGTTTTTGGTGGAAATTTTTTACATAGTTTTGGTATTGAAAAACAGTTGAAAGTTGCACAAGTTGAAGAACATACAAAAGTTCCACAAAAATTCAGATATCCATTTTTCACTGAAATGTTATGGTGAGTTTATAACTACTTAATACATTGTAACAAATTATTGAAAGAACATGAGAATTAATTTCTGTTCATTTATTGTAGGTATGTATTGGAAAGATATGTACATGTGCTGCTAGGGAGAAGTCACTTAGATATTTCTGAGTCACATCGTCAACATTCAATTCCACAACACCATCAACATCTGCACCTAACACCATTTGAGTTACATGGTTTAAAAGCAATAGTTATGTATTTACATTCATTACCTTCTACTAAGAAGAATGTGCCTGACCTTATCCGTGATCCTGTTGCCTTAATTCATGACGTTCGATGTTTGGTAGAGCAACACAGGCATGATAATCCAGAAGCAGCTGTAACAGGAAATCCGGTGTTACCACCTCCACCACCATTGACAATTGCAGAAAGGGTAAGCAAAAGTTACATTTATATTAACATATGCGTGTCTATTGCTTTTTCAATATTCACAAATATCTTGTTGCATTACGTAACAGGAGCGCTTGAGAGTAACTAAGAAAAGTTTTGCAAAGATACAGAGGCATCACTCACAGGAAAAGTCTGAAAGAGCTTTCCCGCGGCGAAGACGCACTAGGTGTAAAAAGTGTGAGGCGTGTACAAGGACTGATTGTGGAGAGTGCATGTATTGTCAAGATATGGTGAAGTTTGGTGGAAGTGGTCGTGCCAAACAAACGTGCTTAATGAGGCAATGTCTGAGGCCTATGCTCCCAGTTACTGCAGCATGTAAAGTTTGCAGATTAGATGGCTGGGGACAGCCACCTGCACCTTTAATGGGTATTTATTTTTTCAATATAGTGTTTTTTTTTTAAATTAGACTAAGGAACTAAAGTACTTTAATTTTTAATATTTAATCCAGGCAAACCAACACCAACAGCACCGTCAAGTTTAGTAGAATGTTCAATATGTTTTGACATTGTCCATCCAGAATGCATAGGAATGGATCAGCAAACTATAACCGTCAGCGATGACTTACCGAACAGTTGGGAGTGTCCGTCGTGTTGTGAAAGCGGTCGAAATCTAGACTGCAGACCACGTCAACCTAAGGCTCGTGCACGAAAACTGTCTGTATCTAGTGCTGCTTCATCAGCACCGACAACAGACTCTGAACGAGCTACTACACCAAGTAAACGTTCAAGACCCGATCCCAGCGATGTAAGTCCCCACATGGAATCTGACACGGTCTAAGAATACGAAATATTCATGGTTACTATACAAAAAATTCCAGGCATGGAATGACAGAGAACCGGCTGAGGGTGAACAGAGAACAGCTTTGCGTACACAATTAGCAGTACAATTAACAGGTTCAAGTAGTAAGTCATTGAAGAGGCCCCATGTGGTTGTTAGGCCTGTTCCGCTTCCGCCTGTTCAAAGACCAGGGCCCGATTTTAATGGACAATCTTTAGCGTATGACAAGACAGCATTACTTGCTATTTTTAGATTTTTAAATGCAAAGGATCTGGCGAATTGTGCCTTGGTTTGCCGTACATGGGCCAGATATAGCATAGATCCTAGTTTGTGGAGAAAATTGGACATGTCTCATTCTCATCTAACAGCTTTACATTTGACTGGTATTATACGCCGCCAACCGGAACATCTGTCTCTTGACTGGACAAATGTTACTAAAAGACAATTAGCCTGGCTGCTAAGTAGATTACCGCAACTTAGAACATTATCTGTACAAGGTTGCACGTGGGCGGGAGTATGTGCTTTGAGAACTTGCACTTGCCCACCACTCGTCACCTTAGACTTGAGTCATGTATCTGGACTGAACGACTCAAGTTTGAGAGAAGTTCTCAGTCCACCTACAGACTCAAGACCTGGTTTGATTGACAAAACATCAAGATTGAAACATGTTAAAAATTTATCTTTGGCTGGATGTGATATCACTGATGTAGCTTTGAGATATATTGTTCAACACTTGCCGTATCTCGAAACGTTAGATCTGTCATCTTGTGGCAGAGTTACTGATGCTGGCGTAGCTCAACTAGCAACTTCACCAGCGCAATCAGTATCAAATCTAGCGTCACTCAACTTGTCAAACTGTAGATTACTCACGGAGGCAACACTAGATCACTTGGCAAGATGTAAAGTGCTTAAACGTTTGGATCTCAGACACACGACTCAAGTTTCGACACAATCTGTAATTAAATTTGCTGCGAAAAGTATTCATAATCTACATGTAACGGATGTTAAATTAGTGGAAGAGAAAAGGATTAAGACAGACGTTAAAGTTTCATGAAAAACTGTATTTGTTTGTTATGAAAGTTTTTGGCAAGTGCAATTCGGTTACTGATTCACTAGAAAGTGAAACCTAGTATGTAAACTGGCAATTATTTATAATTATCATCATTCATTAGCACCGTATTGCAACTTTATAACATAAAATCATGGACCTGACTAGCATAGGATTTCTAACATGTTCAGTTTCACCACTATCATCATGCAGTCTGGGTAGAAACTATATCTGTAAATGATTTATAATGATCAAGGAATGTTTTATTTGTTTTATTTTTATTACTGTAGATGCTGTCTTCCTTTATGCCTGGATAGCTCTGTGCATATACTCAAATATTTTCATGAATACAGGATATTAAATAAGTAATGCGGATTTTAAAAAATATTTGCAGTTAATTAACGTGGAAATATATTAATTGAATCGGGAATGTGTCGTAGCCTGACGGGATCTAGCCTTTCTAGCAACTAAAGCTAAGAGCGGTTTAATAAATGCGGCTATTGAGTTACATTGATCATGTAACGGAAATCATTACTCGCTTAATATTCAGTATTCTATTAGTACGAAATGAGATGTTTGCATCAGTATAGAAATGACTACTGTCACAGTTTTGAGAAGACGAACGGGCAGTATTTAGTTGGAATTCTATACAGATGTGGAAGAAATACGGATGCGGGTAATACGGAAACAAACATGTATGTCTGTAATCTTGCGACAGGTACTCGGTTGATTAGCATATCGATGATATTAATCACCGATATATAAATAAAAGAAAGAAAGAGGTATATTTATTTGTATGTGTGTTTCGATAAATTTCGAACGCAACGGTCACTAACTGACACGAAAGTCGCGAAACTAATGCAACCTGTTGACTACATAAACTCATACTATATAGATACGAACGCGCGCAATGAAACATATTCGTCTATACCACTTCATAATATTATTAGATAGGTGATTAATATTACACTGAAAGGAAAACATGTACATTACATGAATGTTTTAATTTACGATCTGGATGCTGTGTTCAGTTTAAATGTTTTTATGTAAACGAATGTACATACAGTTAATTTCTTTTTATAAATTTACATTTCAGTTTTATTTTTTGTTGTGCATATTATGTGCATAATTTGAGAGTGATAATAATAATAATAATGGAGAGCAATAAGAATTTAATTACCTGCACTTTAATGCCTCCGTTGTTTCACGAACTTCGTCGCGTACGCAAGGTGTTACGCGCGGTTTAACGAATACATCTTTCTCAGTGTGTCACTCGAAAGATGCATGAACTATCCGCACTAATAAAAGTTCAGCTTATTTTTTCAACTTAGCTCGCAGTGCAATGTTGTCATCACACTTGTTGACGCGGAATTGTTCAAACGCGAATACATTTTTATAATTCAAGCATGCTTAAAAATACTTAAGGTACGACTAATGTTCTAAAAACTACAACACCATTGTATAGAATATGTAATCCACAGAGAACTATAGCGATATTCTGATTTTCAAATATAATTTTAAATTTTAAAAACTTCGGCATCGTCCTTACCTGTTCGTTTTAGTGACACTGTGTATTTTACAATTTTACTTTTATTATAGTTAGTCATATTAGTCGAATAATTATAAAACAACACAAGAACTGTTTCGTCACACAATCATAGAAAAAAGAGAGATTTGTACATTTGCTGAGCGGCAACAACTAAACATGTAAATAAATTTATAAGTGTATTCAATGTTTACTTTACGACGCCAATGCATTCAAGGAATATGCTAGGGATTTTGTCTCACGTCATATGTGCATATCTTTTCAGGCCACTCTAACGGGTGGTAGTGGATTTTCTTTTTGTAGTTACAAAAGTATATAATAAACACATTTATGTCATCGTGTATTCTAAATAAAAGAGAAGTCATCGTTAAAAAAAATAAAGTTTGTAAATTCTGGAAAACCTGCTCGTCGATTGTATTTCAGTTATATAAGCATGTGAGTGTTGTTGACTTTTTGTTTGTGATAACCTATCAGAAAGTTTTATCATCGACTAACGATTGTCTTTTATTTAAAAATATTATACAATATTATAGCAAAAAAAGGAAAAACGTTTCCAATATTTTCGTATAAAGATTTTTTTTTCTGCGAAATATGATGAGCAATGGTTAATGTATAGAAAATTTACATCTCTTTTGTCTTTTGTTTTGATCGATAGGCATGTGGTATAGTTTATGGTATGTTTCTCTTTTGATTCGTAACGCTTCCAGTACATTTTCCATAGATACTGGAGAAAACAAATTATTCTGTTCACTAGTCGTTATTAAAGAGTAGTAATTTCATACGCTACGGATAAAACTGAACAGAAAATTTGATTCAAGTGTGAGGTATCCTATAAAATACATTTAGGTGAGTGCGTGTATTTGCGTGTCTGAATTTTCAGGCAGAAAATTTTCTATATTTTCATATGTAATACTTATATGTGTATGTATACAATTGTCCATAGTAAGCTTTCACTGTTCCTTAAATTAACTTAACCTAATTCTGCTAAGACAGAGTCTAGATCTTCTTGTAAAGAGATACTTTCTTCTCGTTGCTTCGCTAAATCATCTTTCAGTCTGTCAACTTGTGCTTTGAGTAAATAATTACCCTTCTTTAATGCAGCTAAACGTCCTTCATGCTTTTTGGCTCGTTTCTATGAAAATATTAATATTATTATGTGCATAGAATTAACAAATTTTTCATGATGCAATACGACAAAATTTGATGCAATCTCTATTGGGTAATGTTATTACATTGAATAATTTTTATTTCTTATATTAGTATATGATATTTAGCGTAATACCTGTAATAAGTCTCTTTGACCTTCTAATGAATCATCCTCATTTTCTGTCTCAGAATCTTCCTCTTCTTCAGATTCTTCTGATTCAGACTCTTCTTCAGACTCTGTCTCTTCTTCTTCCTCTTCCTCTTCTTCCTCATCTTTATCTTCATCAGTTTCTGACATTAAATTTGCCATTTTATCAACTTCTTTCTGAAGACGTTTAAATTTCCTTTTCTCTTCTTTCAACATTTTTTGCTGTTGCTTAATTTGATCTTTCAATGCATGCCTCTCTTTTCTAGCATTTACGGCTTTGTCCCTATTATAAACATATTATTTTTTATCATATTTATGCATGTTTACATGGAAACTATTCATGCAATAATACTTACTTGGAATTCTTGATCTTTGTTGATAAAAGTTTGATCTCCCTCTGCAATCTTTTTTCAGCTGCAATCTTTGGATCGTCATCTTCCTCTTCTTCTTCTGTGCTTTCCTCTTCATCTTCTTCGCTTTCGCTTGGCTCTCTCTTATCTATACTCTTTTGAGAAGCCACTTTTGCTACATCTTTTGCACTTGGACAACCAGCCAGTGCCATTCCTGAAACATTGTACCATGCTGCGTCGTCGCTATCGTCTGCTAGCTCTATTATCGGCTCAACGTCAAGCTCTTGCTCAAGCTCTTGCTCAAGCTCTTGCTCAAGCTCTGATCCCAAAAGCGCAAAATAAAGGGGCAAAATTAGAATAAGCATAAGCGATTTGGAGTTAACTTAACGCCGCAAAGATACAGTAATTTTTTATTCAAGCTCGTTATCGTTTATTAATTGCGTTGTTAATAGATTAGTAGCTGTTGCTAGCCTAAGCCTATATTACAATAAATGAGCAAAGGTTAAAAGAGTTAGAAATCAGTATATTACGTGTATACTCTTCAGTACCATAAAACTTGAACTATTGTTACCAGCTTTCATACGCCTCTCCAAAGCAGCATACATTCTCCTCATCTCCTCCAATTCGTTCTTCATTTTATCCCTCTCTTCTGCTACATTCATATAGTCTTTCTCAAACTTCTCAGCCTCTTTCCTGGCCTGCTGAGCTTCCTGTTTCAATGACTCTGTGAGTTTCTCGTCCTGTTTTCTGTGTTCTTGTACGGTTTTCGTAGATTTTTGTCTGTCGAGCTCAGCTTCAAGATTCAAAATCCTTGCCTGTAAAGGGGATACCTTAAATACAGTTTTTAGTTCGTGTAATCCCATATAACACGCTAACTACAAAAAAAAACTCTAAAAATTATTACGTTGAACAAAAGTAAATCCAGTCCAAACGTAGCGTCAACATTAAAAAAATGATACAATCAGTTAAATCAAGGCGGTTACCAGTAACTTATCAGACATCAGCTTACTTGTAATCTCTTGTTATCCCTCTCCAAAGCCTCCTTGTTTCTTAACTCCAAAGCAAGCATTTGCTTCGTACTCTGCAGATCGTCCCTGACCGCATCGATGTCGTCCATATCATCCGAAATCGAATCGTCCGTAGGCTCGTCAGCCTTTTGCATTTGTTCCTCTATCGTCAGCTGCCTCCGGAATTTCCTCAGTCCCTCGAGCATCGGTTTCGACCGATCGTTCGTCTTCACGCTCTTCAGTTTCACGCCCTCCTGAATCTGCTTCAGCAATTGGTTATGCATGTTCGACTTTTCGGATTCGAACACAAAGTGTGCCTTCCCTAATGAGAAACACCGAGTCAGTACAACAGACACCGCGACATCCTGAAACGTTCGGTCCAAAAACAGACAAACGCCAGAACGCATCCCGTTCGGGCCGTTCCTTAATTCCCAGAAACACATCAATCTCAGTCAGGATCATACAGCGCGACCAGGGGAAATGGTCTCATTCGGGCAACAATCGGAACGCGACGCGCTCCGATATTCGTTTACACAGGGACAATTGGAAGAAGGGAGCAGGGGGTCGGTGAAAACCCACTGAACACGAAGACGCCGGTTAATTCAACGATAATAATATTATTCAGCAACAAAACGAAAGGGTTCCCGTGCAGTAGAACGGGGATCGGAACAATAACGACTAGGTTGTACTACAAACAGCTCGTATCGTAGTCTCGGGGACAAAAGCTGATTGAACCGTTTTATTAACAGTTTAATTAATTACACCCCGCCGGATCGACCTCTACATGGGCGAGCAGGGGGGGGGGTGCGTGTTTGCCAAGGGGTAACAGCACAAACGGGCGAGTAGAGGGGTAGGGGGAATCTAGCAGAGACTAATCAAAGAACATGGTGAAACCGGTTTTCTCCTAAGAGAATCGGCCCCGGGGAATCTGAGTAGGATCGAAGTTCGATTGACGATCACCTGCTGGATCGGCAGTGACCTTGTTCACCCTCTCGATCAGGGGCGCGCTCCTGTCGTTGCACTTCACGTGTCTCAATCGCTTTCCGCTCTCCACCTCCTTCATCATGCTCGCCCAGTCGGGACGTTTCCGTGGCCTCGACTTCAGCATCTCCAGTTTCTCTTGTTGCGACTCGTTGAGCGGCGGAAGGTCCTTCAGGATCGTTCGGCTGGGTGGCGGTGGCGGTGGTCGCGGCGGCGGCGGCGGCGGGATCGCTGCCCTCGAAGAGCTCTTCGACAGCGTCGGTGCGCCTATTTATAAGGAAATCTTATTTTTACCGTGGCTAACTGTGCCGTGAATATTTCGCGACGCCCGTCCGATAGCGAGGTATCTTGTTTTCGATGGGGGTAAGTAGATTTGCTCGAAACGCTCGGGGAATCCTTGATCGTACCGTAATCCTCAACCGTGATTTCGTTGAGTGCGACTCATCATATTACTGAAGAATTCTATCACTTGAAATTTCACTTTTCCCGGTAAAAGTGTGTTGAATTATTGAACTGTACTTTATTGAGTCGGATGTTGAGAAAATGAGGATATAAAACATTTCGTAATATATCTTATAATTCTTTTGTTTTATATTCAATTGCGTAAATAATGAAAAGTTGTTGATCAAATTTTATTAATGCCTGTGAATGATAATCTACATTGTAGCTAGGTATCTTTTTCTCTGATTAAAAAGTGTCAACGTAAAGAACAATATTCGTGAATCTATTATAGAAAATATCGAGACAATTTCACTGTTATGTTGTGATTATATATCTTAAACATTGATATTTACGGTACGATCAACATGCCCCGGTAATAGTTAAATCGGTCGAAATGTAGTGATTGGTTTGTAGTTGTTAGATCTATTAGAGCTACTGGGATTTGGTTTCACTGTTTCTTCTTTTTAGGATAACTTTACAAAACACATAGGGGTAACTAGACTGTGATTAAAGGGGAGTTTTCTAAGTGCTGTTACCTGTACTACTCTCACTCTTGGAGAGAGGTATAGTGTCACCTCGAGATCGAGACCTCTCGATTCGAACCTGTCGTTCGAGCTGTGGCCTCGAATTTGGCTCTTGTCGTCCATTCTCGCGGGGCTTCGGTGCCGGTTTACTGGTCGTATTCTTCTCGGTTTTTGGCTGTGCCGGGATTATTGTGATTTTGCTCTGTTTGCGAGATTGAGGTTCTGCCGCTGGTTTTACTTCCGGTTTCACCACTGTTTTTACTTCTGGTTTCACTACTGTTTTTGCTTCCGGTTTCGCTACTGGTTTTGCTTCTGGCTTCGCCACACTCTATAAACCAAAGAATCTTCACATATTTCTACTTTAACTCATCAACTTGTTAACCTACTATTTTTACTGTAACATTTTTTATGGATACTTTCCCCCAAAATTAATACAAATCATGATTAAGACAATTTTTAGAGTATACCACTAAACTAACACAAAGAGACTGTTTACATTGAGTGCCGTTTTTAGATTTCATTTGATTTTGTGTGTCATTGAGGATTTACGAGCCATTAACACTCAAATAATCAGCACTGCATTTTTGCATCGTTTCTCGGCTATTGCTAAACAACTGGCATTGCATTTTTGCTATCTGTAATATTACGCACTGGCTATGTGATTTAATTTCAGTTTGGTTTTTGGCCTTGCTCGTCGATTGTGTATGTACAACCGTAAATTAAGTAGCCGGTCGATTTAGCGTTAAGTTAGAAGTACAGTTCGAATTAAACCGCGAATTAGTGGACTAACAATGTAGGTACTTGTTATGTGTTCCGTTTAAACTAGCAGCATCAGCGAACCTAGATATTCTGTATTTTAATATCAGCAGCATTTGCACGCCAACCGTCGATCAACGCGTACTTAATTCGTCGAACACGATCAGTCCATTGTTCACGACCGAACACTTCGCTTCCGTCTTCTATCCCAGATCAACCCGTTACGACTGCTTGTAAGGCCCGGCGATTTACAACAAAAGAACCGATACCACGCATTGTGAAAGGCAGTTGCGTCGGAAAATAGAAAAAAAAAGTTCATCCACCCCCACCCGCCCCTCTTCGATCCTAAAGAAAGAAAGTCTCGAGAATTCTCTTGGCAAGTATCGAAGTTCGCTCGGTCGTCTTTAAATAATCCGAATTGCACTTCCTTCTCGATCGTTTCTGCGCTAGAAGCTTCGATCAATGCCTCGATCGTGTTTATTAATTACGAAAAAAGGATTCGTTTTTCGGATCTTCGAATAAGTCTTCCTCTGAGCGAAGATCGCGGCACTGTCGCCAAGATAAGCTGCGATCAGCGAAAGGAAAAAAGCCATTCATAGCGGAATCTGGGGGAAATCGCCTCAACTAATCGACACGTTTGCGCGAAAGCGTGATATAAACTCGTTAAGAAACTGGCGGAAGACGTAGCTGGCAAGACATTTGAAATAGAAACGCGTGTTCTTTAAATAATCGTGACCCAGAGGCTTATATGCGAGGACCCGTGGGGCTAGCCTTCTGTCCGATCTCTCTCGTATCATGAAAGGGGAATTGATCCGGCTCTTTGATGCAACGAATACAATTATGAGTCACCGTGAATTCTAATTTGCAACATTCCAATGTATTCTTTTCCCTATTAAATCGCCGGTACATCATTTGGTTCCGATGCTTCAGATTAATCCTACGATCGAATATCTATAATTTCATCCACTCGGAAGGCGAGGATGACTTTCATCTGTTCGCGAACTGCTTAAAGTTGCAAATATAACGACTCGGCCGTAACTCACGGACGAATGTCTCGGAGGAAATGAATAAATCGATATTTTTGGAACTTTCCTGAATCGCGTGTATGCGCCGGGAAACTTTCAACGGTGATTTCCACGAAACGGCGATGTAGACCGGCCGCCCTGTACCATCACCTAAATCCCGATCAGACTTATCGATGATCTAACTAACCGCGACAGTTGTAAACAATACAGTGACGTTAACGTTCACGTCGCAGCCACGTGTCCCGCGGAACATCAGGCATCACGTTTTTCACGTTTTCCCGGTTGGACAGATCAAGGATTCATTTGACTTCGACGATTTCGCGTGGCTCGTTGCCAAAATATCGGAGGTATGCGCTCTGGGATTGGTATGCGGCGATAAAAAACAAAGTACAAATAAACAGAGGAACCAGAATCCTTTTTGATTCGTGTACGCGTTAGGGTCGATTCTTATGCGCGAAGTAAATAAATCGTTTCGACTGTAAACAAGCTGGACAATATGGCGGACGAACAATGTAAATACCTGTACGACCGAAACGCGTTACAATGTTTCCGCTAACAATCTCTTGGGCGGAAACGGTCAGAATGCATCGCCCTTGTAAATTTCGAACTATCGAAGTGTTTGTAACGCAAACTTGCTATTTGACACCCACGCGAGATATTAATAGACTAAGTCCGGTGACTTTGAAACCCAATATCTGAATGGAAAAAGACTGCAGAAGGCGGCCGTTCATGTTTCTAGTAGAATGAGCGCAGATGGGATCAGACGTTATTGTTTTACCTCTGTATAGAGCTGACGCTATCTTCTTAAACGAAAACAAACTTTCTAGGTTTTTATTATGAGATTCTAACCGGTGTCTTAGAGAGGAGCCCTTAAAACTTCTCTCGAATTCACAATTTCTGTAGAAAGAACGAGGAGAAACAGTTATACTATGTAGAAGTTATTAGAATAGATATTAATATACATTAAAACGTAGAAAGCCTTTTCAACGGAATCACATTCTCGTTTCTTTAACACCGATAGTACTCCAGCGTTTGTCACTTTAATCACCGTCTCATTTTATCGAAAACACTTCCAACTTTGAATCAGATATTGAAAGAAATGTCTAGCCGATTGTGTATTGTATAAATGTAATGTTCCAGTCATTGGCGTTTTCTTTAAAAGAAACTGCTAACAATTCTGAATAGTTGGAAACTTACTTTGAGAGTAACTTGAGTAAACGCCGGCGGTTCTTCGGCCTTCGATTTGGAGTCTCTCCTGGAGTTAAGTGTCCAGGGTGCAGTCGGCATCGGCAGAGGGTTCGGACCATCCTTGACCCATGGCGGTCTGAAGGTGGTCCTCTGCGGTGGTTGACCACCGGCGCCTGGCATTCTTCTTCAGCGCTGTCGCAGGGTTTCTTCCGATCACGCTCGACTTTCTTTCTCGATCAGGTCCACCTGGTGAAACTCGGGGGTGGTATATTCAGCTCTCGGGGATCGCGAGAGCCGCGGTAGACGTCGAGGATCCTCTGTAGGACGTGTACGATGTGCCACTGACGGACTCCTGGACGTCGGCACGGCGAGGTGGGGATCGGTTTTACGTGGGAGAGTTACGACCCACTTTTCTCGAAACGTGTTCTCGCGCTCGGGGAAATCTTCCGCGATCCTGCTCTCGCGGTTCACTGATCCCGACGGGCGACGCAAGGGAAACCTTTCGGGTACAATGAGGAGAATGGATTTATCGGTGGCCGCGCGTACGTTCGGCCGATCGGTTAACAGGAAATCTTCTAAGAGCGTAGCCGCTGGGAATTTTTGGGAGTCTGGGAAAGATTGAGACCTGGACCACACATCAGGGCCACGACTGCACCTCCCTAACCGCGCGATATTTTCGTCCACGTGACGTCACAGAGAGACGCAAGCTCGAAATAGAAGACAGTCCTCTTCTTCTAGGATGCTTTCGGTGACTCTCTCGGTTGAAACGCCTCTTCCCTTGGTCGTACCACGTATCCCACGTCTGTTTACGATGCACCAAGTGCCGATCGACACGAAGGTCGATCGATCCTCAGGGTCATCGACTGCAGATCGGTACCCGTGATTGTCCTTGGATGCGTTCACCGCTAGTACTTGGTTAGTTCTTTCAGAGATGGGTGACCTGTGTGGTTTAGTCCTTGTTGATTCGATTGTAACCTATTAACCGGATGACTTCTTAAGCATGAACGATTGCAAACATTTGAGACGAATAATGTTAATTTAAGAAATATATTAATGATATATTTATTTAACAGTGAAATGATAGAATAATTAATTAAATAAAGGGGATACTAAACGATTGCCGAAAATCAATAACAGCCACAAAGGAGAAGTCATCTGTCTTGTTAACAGGTTAACACAGCAAGCTTGTGAGTTATAGGTACTATGAATTTGAAGGGAGCGCCAGACAGCTTGATTATAAAAAGACGTACCAGTACGTCAACACTGTGCTCCTATAATTCATTCGAAGACGTAATATTACGTCACCGGCTGGGAATGTGTTAACATTCCAACCATTGTTTGTGCGGTCAAAAGTAACCTCATAAAACATTTAAAAGACGAGCAGAGGACAATTACATTTCTCGAATACACAAGTGAATATGTTAAATAGAATTTAGAAAACCTGTCTATATTATTACATCTTTCCCTGTGATGTACACCCTTCTGACAGAAATGGGTTAATTTTCATTTATTCCTATAACACCTCGAACACATTCGCGTAACCAGCGAGGCATGTTCTGTTAAAGGGTCAGTCGTTTTCGAGAAAGACAGTACCAGCTGGCCGCGCAGAAACACAACGAAGCGTACCTCAAGCACGACTATTATCAGCGAACCGCGAGATACTTTGAGCGAGAGTGTAGAATTGCCAGACACTATGACTCGTGGAATTACAAGAACGTAGACCCGAGAGGCGAGCTAGAGAAGGCGAAGAAAGCGGAACGGTTATTAATCAGAAGGAACAAACTGAGAACGTTGCTGAAAGCGGAAGAGGAAACATACAAAAAGGAATTAGAAGAAAAGAAAAAACCGCGAACACGACCCGATGAGTGTTCATTGGAAGCTTTAAAGCAAAAGTTAAAAGAGAAGCGAGCAGAGCAGAGTCTCTATTTGCCTAGGACTTGCCGAAGATATCAGTCCTATTTCGTCTGCCCCACGGATCCCCCAATTTCACGTTTCCACACTCTGAAAGATACCAATCTCGGGTACACTCGTATCTGTAGAGATTCGACGAATTTCGTTCAAATCGGCCAGGGTTCTTATCGCAGGAACAACAAAATGAGCGAGAACAACAGCAAGAGTCCCAAGGATGAGGAGAATTCCGACGTTCCTAGCCACCAGCTGTCTGCTCGGTACGCTCGCAAGAGTTTGGAGAACACGAACGTGCGGAGCGACGAACCCGATGGGTACTTTCCTTATAGGTCGTCCAGGTCTTCTCTATCCCTTGGACTTCCGAATGGGAAAAATGAGAATCTTGTTTACGGTGATAATAAAGAAAACAGGAAAGAAGACTCACGATTGACCAACTACCAGGAAGATGGCAGGATGACTGTAAGTCCATCTGCTAATTTGACGGACGGTATAGTCAGTTCGAAGGACATAGGTGATTCGCAAGGAACTGATTCCCGGCCAGGAAATACGGGAACAGATCAATCGGATAAGTCTCCGCTTGAAAGAGCTGGTGACGATGCAGACACCGGTCACACGGGCGAAACACCCTCTGAAGAATCGGTTCGCCGCGAGAAAGATCGGTCGGACAAAGAGGAACAAGACGAGATCGACATAAAAAGGAAGGACAACCGGCAGTTCGAGGTCGAGAAAAGTTTGCCTTGGCTGCGGAGGGATCCCGGCGACAAGAACCTCTCGAAGCAGATGTTCCTCTATTTGACGCACAACGAGCTGAAGTCCAAGATCGAGGACTTTGCGAGGCGTGAACTCCACGCCTGCAACAAACACTGTTGGGACGAGGCTCTGAGGCTCAGGGACATGAGAAACAGACTGGAATTGATCCGCGAGAAACAGCTATACAACATTGACAATTTGTATCTAGATGAAGAGGTGAGGAAGATAGGGTTGATGAATATCGGGAAGAGGGCAGCGGAACTGGCCGAGCGCGAGAACATCTGCAGTGACTCTACGATGTACAGGTGAGTTTAAGAACGTTCAATGAATTCTACAGAAAATCTTCGTTGATTTTAATTATCATTGTTATGCAGTCCTTAATATTTTGTTCATTGAAACTTTGATATTTGAATTATGTTGCACGTTTCGAAATGTAGTTTTTAACTATGTCTGATGAAAGCGAATTTCAGAGAGAATTCTGTTCGAATTCTATTGATCGAAGATAATTTGCAATTTAATAGTTCTCAATACTTCGAATTGTCACTGGAAGAATTTCTTTTTCGATTGCTTACCAGAATTATTTATCAAGAAATAATCGTACTTCCTTCCGGAGAACACTCTGTTACGTCCGATCGTGTCAACACCGAGACTCGCTGTACAAAAATATTTCGATCGCGATATAACATTACGTATGACTTAGTCGAACCTATGTTGTTGTTCCTTTTTAATATCCGACCGGCGATTTGATTTGTTGCAATCGCGGCACGTGACCGTGAGAGCGACGCTAAGGGTCTAGGACGACGAATAGCACCCCGTGCTTCTCGAATTAGTCGAAGTCCGTCGATGTTGCAACCGTAAACCGTGAGTCATTCACGTCTTACGGTGCACGCTACACGCTACGCGCATTTCGTAAATGCTTGCCAAGACGTTCGTCATCCTATACGCCCTACATTCGTTTCTCGATAGGTTTCGTGAGGGCGGCGATCCGCAATTGGATCTTCCTTCGTCATGTTTGTAAAAATGGAACTTTCATTATAGATCATTTTGACACTCGGAGTGCAGTTCTACCGAATTAACATTTGCGATATTGATTTGAGTAAATGGGTGATGAGCAAGATCAACTATAAATAATTATATTAGTAGTAAACGATCCGCTAATAGCTTTAATTGATTAATCATCCATTGAACCCTCTGATCCTTTGGACTTTGAAGGATCGTAGTTTCAGACAGATGTGTATATGTTTGTATGGCATGTGGGCAAATGTAATAGGTGAAGATTCTAAGAAAGCAATTAGCGATACGTCAATCAAAAAATTTCGATGGCCATAGTTTGAATAATTATTGAAACAGTTTTCATCATTTGTTTATACTGATTGTAGCCAGGATGCAAAGGCCCTGTGGCAGAAGTGGGTGCACGAGGACGACAGATCCGTGATCAAGGATGCACGACTGCAGAGAGAGGAGCTGATGAACAGTCTCGAGAAGGAGTGGCAAGATTTGGCGATCCGCGACAAAGACAGGATCAAGCAAACGTATCAAAACGTTATGATGGACTCAGCCCTCCAAGAGGAGCACAAACTGTCTGCGGCGATCAACCAATCACGAATGAAATCTTCTTCGAGTTTCTTAAAATAATCCGTGGGATGATCAAATTTTGACAAATTTATAGAGCTTATTTATACTGTGCCAAGCTAAATATCAATTGTGTTTGCACATTCGTACCGTACTACATTTTGGCCGACAGTAGTCTTTATTGTTGCATACATTCCAAGGAAATTTATTAAAACGTGGTAGTCACAACGAAGCGTAAACGGAGTGATACACTATACGAATTATTATTCCTTTGTAGCGATTGCTAAACGTTCCTAAGACTGAATACATTCAAATCAAATCGGTACTACGTCCTAAACCACTTATTGAATGTGATACCGAAGCCGTTCCGACTCAATACGTATAATTAATTGTATTTGATGTTTTAACAATAGGATTTTGAAGTACGAGCTATACAAGTATGTTTGGTGCGTTCGTATTCAACAATGGAATTCATTTTATATCTTTTCATTCTAGTCGTTTTTGTATCGGCAATATCACTATATTGTTACATATTATTTCTTTTTTTAATCCTATTCTCTTCACTTTAATGTTTGCAAGTCTTATTTAATTAACTCACAAATATTTTTTAAATGATATTTTTCTAACAAAACCACTCTAAGTTGTATTATTGATCTGAAAATAAAGTATTTACGTTGAATGTAAAGAATTAATTGATTCCCGTAGAATATTTAGATCTGTAACCCGGTCACCTGTACATTTAAACAATAGAATTAAAAATGTAGCTAATTGATCTGTATGTTCAAACTTGCCGGCCGAATTTGTTCTCCGTCGATAATACATCTTAATAGTTCACAAACGTTTCGCGAGATGGCGCAACAAGGTTGTCAATAGATTAACGGTTAAATGGCGCGCAGAAACCACCACTGGTCATGGTAAAAGCAAATTTGTTTATTATTGCACTTGTAAATGAAAGATAACACAATCCTGATATAAATAATCATCATTTAGAGTCCGTGTGATTGGAATATTTAATTGAAAACAACCATTCTTGACAAGATAGCAAACTTTCAGTACTTCTCTGATCGGTGAGTTTTTGAACAAATTATTTTACCTTAATCTATAAACAAATATCTCATTTTATAACGTTGCAAATAGCACTAATTAGTAATTAAAACAGAAAAGAGACTCAATCTGATCTCTCAGTATAAGGTACATAAAGAATTTAGCAGTAATTGATTATACATAGCATACCAAGATAAGGGTGACCAAAAAAAGTAATTCTCACTGCATTTTGAAACATTCGTTTATTAAATCCTTATTTTACCATTGCGATGATATAAGCCTCAATATAAAGAATAAATGTCTACTATTCCTATTTTAAACAATTTTTTTTAAAGTCCCGATAAACATCGCAAAGTAATCTGGCGCCATATTTGAAGATCACAATATCTGGCAATTACATCTTAAAAACAGGTGTTAATGATCTTTCTCTCTCTCTCTCTCTTAAAAGTATATACTCTTCCCACAATCCCGAATTATGTAAAGCTTATGAGTAGGTGTGTTGACTTGAAGTTATAATATAGATCAAAATAGACCCGTTTCGTTCACACACGAGTAGTTACGAGCTGAGCGAGCAAATCGAGGGTGGCGAACGTTTGGGGTGGCAAGTGTATTATTGTTCCTATTCGGAACTGTTAATTAAGGGGTTCACCGTATTATATCCACGTCTTGGGTCGCGAAAGAATTTTCCAAGGAATTCGCGGCAGAGTAGGCTAGGTGGTCGCCATTAATCCTCGGGCATACCGGGTGACAACGACCAAATTAGTCGGGCGATCCGTCAAAAAGAGCATTTCCGTGGTAGGCGTGTATTATATCCGCCACATGCTGGTCCGCGCGCAGACGCGCCAGAACAGTCACCCTCCACGTATAACTACATGTAGACATGTATACATACCGCTATTTAAGCGTCAGTACGTAAATATCAGTTCTTTTTATCGGCTACACAAACATTTAACGAGAAGTTTCACACCCAAATAAACACGATAAATTTCTATAAAACACTCGACTTCGTTTTTATGAATTTTATTACGGTACTGCAGGGTCTTCTGTAGCTATTCGAGCTGTAAACGTATAGATTGAAATTTTTTAATCGTTAACACCATTGAACGTCGATTTTAATGTTATTTGCGTTCAGTCTACGCGACAATGTGTGCGCACATAACAGTAAAAAGGGAATAATCGTAGCAATGATCGCAGTCCCGAGCTTTCCGTTTTAACTCCTCCAAAAAGAGAATCCGAACTCTGAAGGAATTTTAATTGATCTCCATCCGACTAGGCCGTGGACGTAAAAACAAGTTTACCATTTCAGATTAGATAAGATTCAAGTCCGAACGAGTTAAATTTCATTCCAATCCATATCTGCTTAGACTTTATACATTTAGAGTGATTCTACGTAAACGTCGGAACATCTCGCCGATACGCGTCGCAAAAGTTTAAAGCGTACGGAATTGCCGGCCGTGTGCCGCGTGTAGCCCTAACGATCCAATGGAAAGGAGCCGGCTCGTATATTTCAGTGGGCCATCGATCTCGGAATTTCGTGTTAACATTTAAATCACACCCACTCCGTACATCCGGGCCGCGGAAGAGAGACAACGGGCCATGTGGTGACCGTGGGAGGGAGAGGAAGGGAAACACAGTTTGTAATACGTGTATCGTGCGTGCGATGGCCCGTGAAAGCTGACTGGCTGCTCGACACCCAGGAGAAGAGGGATGCAGCCACGCCAGCTATGTTAATTAAACGCGTTTCTAGCCCCCGCATAGGAAATCAGAGAAAAAAGGAGACGAGACGAGCGGTGCTCGAGCAGGAATGGGGCAACGTGAAAGAGGGTGCCGGCTAATAACACGTCCCGTACGACGAACGCACGCCACACGCCCGTCTTCTTCTTCTTCTTCTTCCTCTACCTCCTCTGCCACCACTACCACCACCACCACCACCACCACATCCTCCTCCTGCTGCTCGTCCACCTCCGTGCTCCTCCCTCCACCTTTTCTTCTTCTCCCGGCGTGATTCTTTTTTGTCCACGGCCCTCACTTGTCTTCTCGACGTTGGAAGAATGTCGTAAGAGTTCAGGCAACTGTCTTCTGAATTTCTGGATTGGCGTCCGGCCACTTTTTTCCCGCGGTCCCAGGCCACGTCCGCGAAACTTTTCGGATCCGAAAGTAACCCGAGGAAAATGATTAATGGGATTTAGAAGGGAAATTGGAGAATTGTTTTCACCGATTTCTATACTGGGTCCGATGGAATCTACCGGATCAGAGTTTAGGGGAGATTTCGGGATCCTAGAGGATCGGATACTTCGATTCTATCTGGCAATAGAAACCATGTTAGCGGAGTTCCTGGTTTTCATGTATTCGTTTTATTGGTAGTTTCCATTCCGAGGTAATCGAATTTGGAAAATAATCCGGGGCGTGTGGACTTTTTATTTTTCTGATCCTTGGGTTAATGGACATGAATCTCGAGCGTTGCACGGTGCAATATTATTTATCTCGGCCAGCAAATTTCTATCTTAACTTGAATTTGATAAAAGTCTGGTATCAAGAAAAAACAGTGAGTAATACACGAACGCACAAACGTAGAAGGATCTTCGGAAAATTAATACCGGGACACACAAAAACTGCAATTCCATTGTCCCAAATTTATCAATCTCCACCAATCAACGCTTCAATCACTACTCCTTAACTCAACTGCTTCATCATCATTCCAATCAAAACCCGTTCGATCAAATTTTCCCCGCGCCGGAAAAAAAGCAGTGAAACAGAAAACATGGGAACGAAGTCGAAATTTCGTTGATCGTCGACGGACCCGCGCCGCCGCGCGGTTCCCCGGCCCGCCGGTGATTATGAACTCCACTTTACGCGGAAATTACGCGCGTTCCGGCTTGACGGTGCCACAAAAACCCGACTCCGCAGAGAAAAAATCCGCCGGAAAAAAAGAGAGAACGGGAACGAGAGCTTTAAAGGACCTCCCGAAGTTACACTCGGCCGACAAATTAGCCGGGCGCGGCGGGTGCGCGTCGCGCGTCCGAGGGGTAGGACCGGCGTTTCACGGAAACGCGGCCGAACCACGTGGCAGCGCCCTATGTAAAGGGGGCCAACGGAGACGGCATATGTCTGACAAGCGGTTAATCATCGGGGAAAATTCTCTGTCGCCGAGCAGATTAGCTGCGCGCTCGTGTCGCGGCGCGACG